TGTTCTATTTCTTTTTTTTTCTTTGCATAATTAGTTCCATTTTCTCTATCAAATATTTATAATTCTAATTTTTCTATTTGTGCATGTATGAACCATATATTATTATTCATTATTTCATGACCTTTTTTATTTTCTAGATCCTGTATTTTTGCTCATGTATTAACCAAAGCATGATATTTTTTAGATCTATATTTTTTATAATTAAATTTTACCAATATATAATCCAATCTTGTCATATCAATTTTACTTTTTGAATTACTATTATTTGATAATTAATGTTCATCAAAATCCTTTCTTTTTGAATTCTCCATGGTTTTACTTGTTCTAAAAAATTATTTCCTAAAATTATTTTACATTGGTTATCATTATTATCTATTATCCAAAATTTTATAGTTACAACTTCTCTTTGGTTTATTCTTATAGATGAGATTGTTTTATTTCCTTCATTAGTTACTTCTAAGTTATTATTTGTTAGTCATAATCGTATTGTACTTTTTTCTTTTCTCGGGTCTACTAAAGTCATTACATTTATCTAATTTGCTTCTTGTTTTACTTCTATTAATATATAATTATTGTTTTCTATTAGTATTTCAAGTCTTAATGACTTTAAATTTGAAGTTATAGGTCTTTCACTTCTAAATCTGAGCAATAATCTTTCTTCTCTAGATATTCCTCTACTTAGGCTGAGTCTTTGTTCTAAATTAAAACTTCTTCTAGTAGTATGTTGGTTTATATTCATATTTAATGTTGGTGTACTAATTCTTAAAGATCTTTGACCAATATTATCATTAGTTATTAATCTTTTCGAATTATTTTCATTTTCATAATATCTTATAGTATTATCTAATTCTAACTTTAATTGTTCAGGTATTGTTATTCTAGTTAGATTTAATTCTATTTCTTATAATATAGACATAAAATATTTATTAATTGTTAATTTTTCTTTATTTCTTCTATAAATTTTATATTTCTTTGTAAATACTAGTCCAATCATAACAGTTATACTTATTGTTCTTGATCCTGGTAATTTTATTCCTCTTAATTTATGATATATTAATAAGATTTTATTCATCATCTGCTCTTGAAATACAAAAATTAGTGTTTATTGTAAATTTTAATTTTTGATATATTAAGTTTTTAGTTAATATTCCTAAAATACTATCTTCAACACTACTTATTATTTTTTCATTAGTTATTAATAATTCTATTGGTGAATTTCTTCCTTCTTAAGAATAAGCTTTTACTAATAATTATACTCCTGCAATATATATTTCAGTTACTTCATCTTTAAATGGTAATTAGTTAATTTCTGTATCTATTAAAGCTTTACTTCTTAGAGGTATTCTTAATACTCCTTCTGTTTGTGTTGATTTTATAGGGTGTTCCTTTTCTAATACTACGCATGTATATTTTTCTTGTTTTTTAAATTTTACGAGTTTTCCTACTTTATTCATGAAATTTTCATTTTTTAATTCTTCAGGTTTTAAATTTAATTTTGAGTCTCTTATTTTTTTCATATTATTTTTGATTAAATGTCATTATTTTTTGAACTACTCCTTCTTTTGCACTTATAACTTTTTCATATTCATCATATTCATTTCGATTACTATTTTTAGATTCATCTTTTAACTTATTCATCATATACATATAACTCATTTCTTCTTTAGATTCATTATTTTCAGTTTCAGTTTTACTAATTATTTTTAATTTATAAATTTATGTATTTAAATTATTTAATTTATTTTTTATTTTAGATAATTCTTCATCATATCCTATAGGTTTTAAATTTTTTTTATATACTTCTTTCATTATTTTCATATTTTTTTATTTTTTTTACTTGGACAGTTAGGTGATATATGTTCTAATTCTCCACAGTTATAGCATTTACATTTCTTAGGTTTTTTTTATTATAATTTATCTTTCTTTTTCCTTTTTTCTTAAAAAATTTTCTTGGTTTATATTTTATATTATATTATATATGTTTAATTTTATATATCATATACATATATTATACATATATTTGACACACACACACACACATGAATATATATATATATATATATATTTATTAAATAAATATTCAAATATATGTGTATATATGTATATAAAATTCATTCACCTTATATTATATTCATTGAATCTAAACATATTCCAGATTCAATAAACTTAAACATTATAACTCGAGTTTGGCTATTCTTGTGTGCGACCCTGTAGGCCTATATGAAATTAACAGTAGGCTAATTATGCTGTTAGCCCACAAGTCACAAGTAGCTTCTAGTAAAACATTGCAATTACCTAATTTACATGGGAATCGATGATTCGATGTAACCTATCATACAACCGTATCACATCTCTTTTGTCACGCGATATTTCGATCAAGTATGAGACATGAAATTGTCATTCTCCTTTACTTGATCGTTACTTTCTCGATCTTTGAGTGGATTGACAGTAGTAATAGAAAAACCCTTTTCATTGTAGTATGGCCATACATTTTCTCAATCTTACTCATCGAGGGGCTAGTAATATCTCTCACTTAATGTGAGGGACAAATTCCATCTTGACCACTAACATTCCTCTACATAAATATCACTAAATTTAATCATAGTCTTTATGATCACTCGATCAAAGGTGACTTTTGACTAGGTCAAAGTTCAGTGATCATCATGTAAGAATCCATGATGATCTCAAGTTAAAGGGCTTAGTAATATAATTACATATAAGATAAGTTTGTGACTCATACTATACAGCTTTCTCATGGTAGGTCGGTCCAGCACCTTATACTCTTTCAAGTGCTTATGACTTTGATTTATATTTCTATAATTAATTAAAGTCATACTAGTTTTGTTTCATCTATAATCCCTCGTAAATGACCGACGAGGGACATTTAGGACAACCACTATAGTTTGTTCAAAAATACAGTTATCATATTGAACATACAATTGTTATGATAACAAGAGAGAAATTTATTAAATAACAATATATATAGTACAATGATTGATCTTAGGACACAATTTTCAATAGGCTGGACTCATTAGTTAACCATTATGGGTGCTTTTGTACCTCATCTCACTTAAGGATATTAGGCACCTCTAAAGGAAAACTTTGTGAGTATTTTTGCCTTTTGATCTAAAAAATAATTCAAACAACAGTAGCAATAGTGATAATAATAAGGTTAAAATGTACTTTTAATCATTTAACTTTATATAAAGTTTCAATTTAGTCCTTTAATTTAGCATTTTACTTTGTTAGCAAAATAATAATAATATTATTACTATTATTATTAATAAGGGAAACTATAATTCAAGGATAGCTAATGATAGTTAATATCAAATGAGGATAAATAAATTCTAAAATATCATTGTAGAACTAATGGATTGATTTTAAAATAATTTTAGATGGGAAAAAATAATAAATGATTTTCTTTTTCAGTTAACAAGTAGTCATTCGTTAAATAACAAATAACCATTCACATTTAATAGAAAGTCATTCGCTAATTGATAAGTTCAAAAATTCAAAAGAGCTTGGTTGTGGAAAGGGATAAGTGTAAATTATGTTTTAATAAGTAACATTTGATAATTAATAATTATCCATTCATGTTTAATAAGAAGTCATTTGATAATTGACAAATTTAATAATATGAAAAAGCCTGGTTGTGGAAAAAAAATATGTGTAAATCATATTTCAATAAGTAGTCAGTCATTCATTTGATTAAAAAAATAACCATTTATTAATGGGTAAAGGAACAAAAATACTCACAAAGTTGTCAAGTAGGGCACCTAATGTCCTAAAATGAGAAAAGGATAAAAATACCTATAACGTTATATAAGTGGGTGTAAAACCATTTGGCCATTAAATATTGACCGTGCATGCCACGTGTCAGCCTTTGCTGACGTAATTTAATAAATGAATAAAAATATCCACGAAGTCGGCTCAATAGTAAAAATACCCATAACGTCACCAGAGTTAGTGCAAAAATAATCAATCCATCAAATTTTTTAAATGTTAATTGTTTAGCTGATACTTAAGTTGGAGTTGACCATTTTTTCATTAACACGGATAAAAGATATTCTTAAACAAAAAATATCATGTGAGACAATATTGTCTTGACTAAATATCAAATTAAATTGCTTGTTTTTTTGCAGCAACGGTGAAAACTAATTAAAAATTTTAAACTTGTCATGAATGAAATTGCTTAAGGTTGTGACAATATTCTTAAAGTAGTACGACTAAGAGGTGTGTTCATTCTTGATCTTCGAATGTATATAATATATCTTACTATGTTGAATATCAAGTTTTATATATGAAAAAATGAGTGAAAAGAGAAGAAGGAAAAGGGCGAAATACGTGGCAATAGAAAGAAACCATGTGACATGGATTTTGACAAATTGGTCACTAATTATGGATATTCATATGATGATTGATCAATATCAGGAAAAATTCATCGAGAATATTTTTGGTCTACATCATTAAAAAATAGTCAACTTCTGTTTAAATGTCAGTTAAATGGTTAACATTTAAGGGGATTTAATGGATTGGTCACTTTTGTACTAATTCTGATAACATTATGAGTATTTTTACTCTTGACTGATAACTTCATAGATATTTTTATCCCCTTATTAGTCCATTTCAGCAAAGGTTGACCCATGACATGCATAATCAGTTTTTAATGATCAAAGTTAACGGTGTTAGATCAAAATTAATGGTTTGATCATTTTTGTATCCACTCATATAATGTTTCGGTATTTTTATTCTTTTTCTCATTTGAGGATACTGGATACCCCTGACTGATCACTTTATAAGTATATTTATTCCTTTATCCTTTATTAATTAATAAGTACTTATTATATTTTATAAATTGTCATTGACAAGTTTAAAAAAAAAAAACTGGAATATTATAATCTTTACCTGCCTAAAATTATTTTTAAATTCAGCTCCCTGATTCTACCGTGTTCCTTGTATGATATTTTCACCTATCACTAGTAATAATAAAATAAGAAAAAAATTACGATGCTAAAGCCATCCCTGAGGGGTACGTCCATATCTTCATCTTCCAACGGCTTTTGTGCGGAGCGTGTGGGAGAGGGGGATCTCCGAAACCCTAGAATGGACGCGCACGTAGAGAAGGACAGATCCGGCAAGAGAGCCCGAGAAGATAGAGATCACAGCGACCGCCACAGAGAACGCGATCACGATCGCAATCGAGACCACAAGCACCGGAGCCACGACGACGATGACAAGCGCCATCGTGATTCCGATCGTCATCACCATCATCGATCCGACAAGGATTCCAAGCGCGAGCACTCGCACAAATCCAGGCGTGAAAGATCGCGCGAGTTGTCGTATGATTCCAGGGATGAGCGAGAAGGAAGCAGGGATGGGGCTCACGATAGGGACGGGAAGCGTGATTGGTCTCACGAACCTGTAAATGAGAGGGAGGGAAGCAGAGAGAGGCCGAAACATCGGGCGATGAAGCGTGAGGAATTGTACGAGGAGAGGGATTCAGACCATGAATTTAGGAGTGAGCGGGAAGAGTCAGTAGAGAGAGTGCACTCATCGTATTCGCACAAGAGGAAAGACAGGGAACACACTAAAGATAAGGATAAGGATGATAGGGAGGAAAAGAGGACAAGGGTTTCAGAAGAGGGGAAGGAGAGGAGGAGATTCGAGGACAGGGTTGAGGAGGGCAAGAAGTTGAATGGTGAGGTCAGAGAAGGAAGGAGGGAGAGGAGGAAGTTTGGGGATAAGGTGAAGAAGGAAGAGCATTTGGAAGACAATGAAGATGGGAAACACATGAAGGTTAAGTCCGGGGATATAGTGAAGAAGGAAGAGGATTTGGAAGACAATGACAATAGGAAACAAGTGAAGGATAATGAGGTGAAAGTGAAGGAAGAACCCAAGGATCAGAAGTTTGACAATGCCCAGGGTTCTGCCAATGGAAATGCTTCAGTTGGAAATGTGAGCTTTTTAATCTCTTTGTGATAGTTCGATAATACTATTATCTCTGTTTCTAATTCCCTGCTCTCGCCGTTCTTTGAAATCCCAAACATTTTTACGTGCATATTGTTGCCTGTCCTTTAGGATAGACGCTTTGTATTGTAGATGTTTATGTATAGGCATGTCTGTTGCGTCCCAACCCCAATCTGCCGAATGCCACAACGCCTTTGTGTGTTAGATTTGAAATTTAAGACTAGAATATATTTGTTTATATTTCTATATCGTAATTACTTGAAATGCTCAATGCTTGTCAAATCACTGCATGTTTGTATTTGGTTTACTATGTCAGTATTTTACTAACCTGATACCAAGTGATATGTCAATTTCATGATAGATAGCTTGATTATTTGATGAATTTCTTGCAATTGATTACTGTCCAATCACCTGTGTTGAGTAAGAAACTTATTTTTCATTTGCTCCTTAATTGGGTGGATGACTGAAAATTTTGCTGATATGTTCTGTTACCCATCCATTATTGCAAGAATTTATGTTTGTTTCAAGCTTGAAATTTACTTATTTGAATGCTGGTTTTGCCCACTCCCCTGAATTCTAGTTTATTTTTATCCTTTATTCCTTTTGAAACATCCATCAACTACTGAATATATATATTTCATATTTCAGGGGTTTACCCTGGGATCTCATGCTAGCACTTCAAGGAGTGTGCCTGAAGCATCTCTGGTTCCTAATCCTTCCCCTTCTATCAAGGTATCTCCGATTTCTACCACAAATGAAAATAAGGGCGTTAGTATTATCGGATCTCATGAGGTTACTGGAAAATCTAGTACAGATGGGTCATCTTCAACTACTGGAAAAAGTGGAAACATCTCTCTTGATGCCTTAGCTAAAGCTAAGAAAGCTTTGCAAATGCAGAAGGAGTTGTCAGAGAAGCTAAAGAAAATTCCGCAGGTAATGTAGCCATTATCTGAAATCTGCTCATTAGTATTTGCTTTTGGATTGATATTTGCCCGTCAATCATTCTCAGACACTATCGTACTCTTTGGGAATTAATTTTACATATCCCTCTGAATGCATTAATTAGTATGCTTTTGGTTGTGTAGTTGAACAAGAGTTCTACAAAGGCTGAAGGAAGCACACAATTAGGTTTTCAGGATGAATCTAAGATGCCTTCTGTTAGTGCTGGAGTGGCAGCTAAAACTGCCACACCAGCTTCTGCAGGGCCTGTTGCAAACATTTCTAATTTTCCTGCAGCTGCAGCTGCTGCAATGCCACCAACTGCAACCGATACTGCTCCTGCTGGTATTGGTACTCTACCTAACTATGAAGCTGTGAGACGTGCCCAGGAGCTTGCTGCCAGAATGGGTTTTCGTCAGGATCCACAATTTGCTCCTCTCATAAACATGTTTCCTGGGCAGATGGTAACAGATGTTGCTGTCCCCCAGAAACCTACCAAGGCCCCTGTTCTTCGTCTTGATGCTCAGGGAAGGGAAATAGATGAACATGGAAATGTTGTTAATGTGACTAAGCCAAGCAACCTTAGCACACTTAAGGTTTGTGGTTTTCTCAATTTTGGAGTAGTTAGCTTTTCTGGTTGGATTCATGTGTTAACGCTTGGATGGTTTTGCACTTTTCAGGTCAACATCAACAAACAGAAGAAAGACTCGTTCCAAATACTCAAGCCTGTTCTGGATGTTGATCCTGAGTCTAATCCCCATTTTGATGACAGAATGGGCATCAACAAAACAAAACTCTTGAGGCCCAAGAGGATGACGTTCCAGTTTGTCGAGGAAGGAAAATGGTCAAAAGATGCTGAAACAATTAAATTGAAGGTTCCTCTTCCACCCTTTTTTGGTCTATAGGAAATTTCCCTTCGTTTTTTAAATGACGTATTAGTGAGATCCTGTGAATATGCCTTTCAGAGTAAATTTGGAGAAGCTCAAGCAAAAGAACACAAAGCAAAGCAAGCGCAATTGGCAAAGGCTAAGGCAGCACCTGATATAAATCCAAACTTAATTGAAATAACAGAAAGAGTAGTAATCAAAGAAAAACCCAAGGAGCAAATTCCAGAAATTGAGTGGTGGTAAGTTGGTGGATACTTGGACTATCTGTTTTTAAAAATTCCTGTCTGAGAAGTCTAGGGGTTGTGTTGATTTGTTAAGTACAGAAAATCAGAAAAGATTTACGTGTATGTCTAGAGTGTTATTCGACCCTTTCTGATAATTATTTGTTCTTGTTATCATTGCGTATTATAATTATGGTTATGATAATGACTATGAATTCATGATTATATAAGTTGACAGGCTCTTACAGATGAGTTTTGTCCAAAGCACCTTATGCTGCCACAGCTGGGTATTTTAGAAGGTTGATTTGCTGGTTTTGTGGCAATGCTGATGATACTTAGTAAAATGAGAGTAAAATGACCCAATGGTGATGGCTAAAATCAACATTTCTAGCCAATCGGTTTGCAATTGAAATAGATACTTCGTGCAGTAAGAGATCTAAAACTTATATCTAAAAATGCAATGCCTATATTGAGTCTGTTCTACTGTGTGCGTGGTGTGGGATGTCAGAACAAAGAGATTACCTAGAAGAATAGTCTTCAGGAGCAGCTGGCTGGATAGAGAGTGGTGGCTGTGAGATTAATGCATTTCTTGGTTATTTGGATTCTCTTATCACGTTCTCTTTTTTTCTCTTCTTCATCCAAGAAAGCAGGACTATTATTTTGTCCGATCCTGTAAAACTGTAGGTCTTATTCTAAACTCCACACTCACATGAATTGCTACAAGGCTGAAAAGGTTGCCTACTTGCCTGAAGATTATGGATAATAAACAGTTTAAACTAGATATTGTGATATTGAATCCGCTAATCCTATTAAAATAGCATTGTATGTTAATCTTACAAGTCATAAGTTTTGATGACCATAGACGTCGAACTGCAAATTTAAAGACTACTGACAGCACAACACAATGACCCTGTAGAATAACAGAAATTGCTGTTTGTGGCACAGTATAGTGATTGCTTCAGTAATGGAGTTGTTGTGGTCTCCTGCCGCCTCACTTCAGCACCTTTGTGCTGAGGCAAGCATCTTTCACCACATTGAGTTGTTGGATGATTTGATCTAATGAAGATCAAATCTTGAATGGCCCCCTTAGTAACTGCCACCTTATTGGTAGTTTGTTCTTTTTTGCTTAATTCTGATTCTAATTCTCCTGCTCATTTATGGTAGCATGCTACATGCCTGAGTAATAAACGGCTTCCCTTTCAAGGTTTCACTACATTGCAACCCATAAAACAATCTGCTTTATTTATGCTCAAACTGACTAGCCCCCTCATGGCTCCTGTTTCTTGCAGATTCAGTAGCACATTTTTCACTTTCTCCCTCACCCTATTCAGATATAACCATCTTATTCGCAGCTCCCCTGTCATTTGTGCAGCACATTTTTCTGATAGATCTAGTGTTCTGTTTCCTGCACGTATTATTTTTTATGTTCATGCCACTCTCTGACTTTAAGTTTACATGGAAGTATTATTTGTGTAATGTATTTTAGTTATATCATGTTTGCATTGTTTCTTGTATTTGTCCCACTTTAATGATGGGCTACATGGCCTCTATTTGTTGCATCAATGTGATTTGGTGCTAGCCCTCAACCTACTTTTAAGCTTGTGGAAACCTGTGGAGCAGGCAAGCTCTGTCTGGGAGTGCATGTTTGCTTTTCTTATTTCTTGTTTTTATTAAATGGTTTTTGGTCATGTTTCAGGGAGGATATTTTTAGAAATAGGCCAAGAAGTTAACTGGGCATTGCAACTAGATAGTTAAAAGTGGAATGTCTCCTTTAGGCACTAGACAATCTAAAATGCCTTAGTCAAGAGGCTTTAAGAAATTGCATGTCCAAGTGATACACATTGGTAAGGTAATGAAGTATGTGCTAAATATATATATATATATATATATTTTATACCCGAAGGCTAGGTTGGGGTTGGGCTTCTGTGGTTGGGATTTATGGATTTCTATTTTGTCTGATCATGATGATTTTATTATTTGATTGGACTTGTTGTAAGCTTTTGTTGCTTGTAACTATAGAGGCTCTTGGGTTCGTGCCTGCACCTTGAACTTAGAAACCGAGCCAAAAGGGCTCACCTTATGGCCACTTAATTGAAGGCAGTGCCTCTGATGGTGTGAAGAGGTGCCGGACATAAATAAAGTTTCTTTAACATCATAAACATTAAGGAAAGTGCCTGACATCATTGGATTAAAATTGATAAAGTTCTTAAAAGCTGAATGACCCTAGATTGCTGAAAAGAAACTGAACAACTGTGAAGGCTTGTATGTCTATTTTGATCACAGGCAAGGACATGAGTGACTGTTGGTAAATTAATTATTGCTGGGGGAACCTCGTCTCTTTTTCATCTGATCCTTAGAGAAAGTAAATATGTGCTATTGATGCTAAAAGATTTATAATTAGAAAATGTGATTGGAATATTTAATTTTTGTTTCTTCCTGTTTCATATGTTTAATTCAAGATTCACTTAACTTTGTTTATTAGGGACACACTTCTTTTGCGCTCTGGAAATTATGGTGACATTGCTGATGGGTCCATAAGTGAGGATAGTATAAAGATGGAAAAAATCACCATTTATGTTGAGCATCCTCGTCCAATTGAACCACCTGCTGAGCCTGCTCCCCCTCCGCCTCAACCTCTAAAGTTAACAAAGAAAGAACAAAAGAAACTCCGTACTCAGAGACGTTTGGCTAAGGAGAAAGAGCGGCAAGAGATGATAAGACAGGGTGTCATAGAACCCCCCAAGCCAAAAGTGAAGATAAGCAATTTAATGAAAGTACTTGGCTCTGAGGCAACTCAGGATCCTACCAGGCTTGAAAAGGAAGTTCGTAGTGCTGCTGCTGAGCGTGAGCAGGCTCACATAGACAGGAATATTGCTCGCAAGCTCACTCCTGCTGAGCGCAGGGAAAAGAAGGAGAAGAAACTTTTTGATGACCCAAGTACTCTGGAGACCCTTGTCTCAGTTTACAAGATCAATGACCTTTCACATCCTAAAGCCCGCTTCAGAGTTGATGTCAATGCTCAAGAGAACCGTTTGACTGGGTGTGCTGTAATCTCTGATGGTATTACTGTTGTAGTGGTTGAAGGTGGGAGCAAGTCAATTAAGAGGTATGGGAAACTTATGCTTAGACGCATAAATTGGGGTGAATTTTCCAAAGAAGATGAAGAAAATGAAGAATCTGATGATGATAAACCCGAGAATAAGTGTGTTCTAGTGTGGCAAGGGAGTGTTGCTAAGCCAAGTTTCAACAGATTTTTCGTCCATGAATGCATGACCGAAGCAGCCGCCCGCAAGATTTTTGCTGATGCTGGTGTTGGCCACTACTGGGACCTTTCGGTCAACTATGTAGAGCAATAGAAGATCATGTATCATTTTGAAAGCTGTACAAGCAAGCACCTTGTCTTCTAGCTGCCTCGACTAATTAGTGGTGAGTGATCGTTTTTAGAGTTATGCATTTCGCAATATTATATGAAAGACAATCCCAAGAAATAAGACAGTTGCTAGTGCTCTCTTGTCTCTGAATCCCAATGATGATTCTAGATTTGGTAGATGTAATGTAAGTGTTGTTCAGCGATTGTGATGATGTCCATTCAAGATCTTGAGGATCAATTGATCATGTAGGACGTCACTCTCACATATTCTTCCCATTCAGGACTGGCACCCAGATGTTTCCCAATCTGTATAGCTTCTTGAGGAATATGCTAATTTTCTTTTGATCTGCCCGTTGTATGCTCTAACATGATCAGGTTGGCTATGTCAATGAATCTGTATCTTGTATTTGGTCAAATTTTAGCCCTTTACTAGTCATGAATAATGCAGTTAGATACCGTATTACTTGTGGCACAACATGGTAAATCTTTTTTTCTAACCTATTTTTGCCCCCCTTTTTTGTTTTTACCCTGAGGTGGTGTTGGTTACCAGTAGATCGAACGATAGTGAAGATCTAGAATTGAAAAGAATTTCAACATTAGAAGAGGACAGCTCTGGAAACCAGAACAGGTTCTTATGTTGCACGTAACTGAAAAATGAGACATTGTTTTATGTTTTATAAATAAGACGGGTTTTCTATGTACTGCACGCACACATACTGAATTAATGTATGATATTAGAGAGGGAGAGTGGAAGTTAGGACCCTAAAAGATTGACTTAGGGGAGATTAGATTCTTGATAAAAATCTAATTATAATTTGAGTTACGTTTAGAACCTTAATGTTTTGTCGTTAGTTTAAATTTTTGAATTGTTTAAATTGATAGTTTGGACTCAATTTTTTATTAGAAATTTAATTGTTATTAATCCAACATTTTAGAACTTAGGGAAAGTATCATTCAAAGATCATTAAAGGTATGTAATATCAATTAAGATTATGAAATATCACTATTTATTGGGGATTGATTTGAAAATAATTTTAAAGAAGAAAAGATTATAATGTCCTGTTTTGTTTTTTTGAATTGACAAGCAGCTATTCATGAATTAATAAATGTTCATTTGCATTTAACAAGAAACAAGTTGAATTTAAAAGAATTTAGTTGTGGGAAGGAATAAATGTAAATTATGTTTTAACAAATAATTATTGTCTCCCTCTTTATATATAAAATGTTTTTTAAAAGTTTATCTTTAAATAAAAGGGTTAACAATGATATTTTTGAATAATTTAACAAATTTATCTTTGTTTTGAAAAATGAAATAGATCATTAATTGTATATTTTCTCCATCATTATATTAATTATGATTTAAGGGGTAAAATTGAAAAATTATTATGTTTTTATGTGAGTTCAACTAAATGATAGGCTTTTATTGGTATGTGAGATTCGGTTGAAAACACATTATATATAGGAACATAGGAAGTATTTGTTACTTAATAAGTATTTATACATATTTAATAAGAAGCTATTCATTAGTTGATAAGTTTTTTTTTTTTTATAAGAAAAGTAAAGAGATAATCTTTTCTCATCTAAAATTATTTTCAAATCAATCCTTTGATCATATAGTGATATTTTAATTTTTTTTTCTAATTTAGGAAAAATATCATTTAAGAACCACCGAGAGTATTTAATATCAATTAAGAATTAAAAGATTATGAAATATTTGTACTTCTCCATCCCAAATTATGAGAACTTTTGGGAGAGATTTGACATTTCAAAATATAAGATACTTTAATAAAAAATATTTATTAATGATGTACTTTTAATATTATCCTTTATATATATTCTCTCTCTTTAATATTCTTTTACAAACAATATATTAAATGATGGATATTTTTAAAATTTTATATTTTTATTTTAAAAAATAAAGTTGTAAAATATATTTTATGAGTTTTATTAATATATATAATTTTATTTAAGAATATTTTATAATTTAAGATGGATAGAGTAATATTTATTCACTCTGTCATTAACTCTGCGGATATTTTATTATTTTATCATGGTTAGTCTCAGTCCTGAACCTAATAGTTGTGAATTCGGTGGATGGTCGGTCTGTATAGCTTGAATTCACTGTACTAACAGAAATTGAACAATTTTCAATTTCTTGTTTCATTTATCTTGTCGGGTCACACTTCCACGTGACCAATTTTCACAACACATAATAAATTAGCACTTTATTTAATCTCAAAATGTCTTCTTAATCAAAGAAATTAAATTGGAATGTGTGTGTGTGTAATGCTTGAGTGTTATTTGAACCAAGAGTAGATTAACGTAGAAGAAAAAAGTGAGCCAATAAAAAATGGGAAAGAAAACATAAATTGGATAGTGAAGAAAAGCAAATCAAAAGCCAGTGACATGGTTGACCAAAACCAAAATGACCTAGCCGGGAGGTAATAAAACTTTGAAAGGCTTGAAGATTACTTAGAAAGTAGAATAAAATGGAAGCAACCAAATCAAGTTGGCGAGCACCGTACGAGCTTTCATCTTGTAAGGAGAGCGATTGAATGCCGTTTAATCCTTTTTCTTTCTTTCTTTTTTTTTTTTGTGAACAAAACTTAGTTGGAAATTCAGTACCTCCAGAGAAATGAGTTTGAATTATGGAAAAATATCAATGACTAGCCTCGTTTTGAATCAAAGCCTCTAAATTTTTAAAATATTATTATAATATAAGAGTTTTAATTTGATATTAAATTTCTGAGAAAAATGATAAAATTGTCCCTCATATAAATTATATCAAAATTGTCTTATTTTACTTGTTTATTTACTTACAGAACATTGTTCGTTATTTTACTTCACTTGTTCATTTTTTTAGAATGAAATCAAATAAAAGTCTGGCAATGAACAAATAAAGTGAGGCAATGAATAACAGTTTATAAGTAAATAAATAACATACAATATAGAAACTAACAAGTTGTCATTAGATGATTTAAACATTTGGAATAAAATTAAGTGAAAGAAATGAATAACATTTCGTTAGTAACTGAACAAGTGAAGTAGGGCAATTCTGATATTAATATAAAGGAGGGGCAATTTTATCATTTTTTTTATAAATTTAATATCAAATCAGGACCCTTGAATTGTAGTGATATTTTAAAAATTAAGAAGTTTTGATTCAAAATAAGTCTAGTCAAGTGAAATTTATTGATATTTTCCCTTGAATTATTAGGGGAAAATACTCCTAATGTCTGAATTATAAAAGGGCAAGATTTTGGATATTTACCCTTATACTTTTATCTGATTAAATCAAGATGAGTAAATTTTATCATGTTAATAATATTAATAGCAAGAGTTAGTTGTATAATAAATAATTTATAAAAAATTCACATGTCTTGATTTAATTGACAGTTATTATCTTAAGTATATAAGGCTAAGTATATGAATTTTTTCTAAAAGGAAATACTTCTTTGGTCCTATTAATAAGCCATTCCAATATGTTTTTATCAAAACTAAAGAAAATTTTAAAACTCATTAACTCTTTCTAAAAATTCAATACAATTTTAACTTTATCCTTATTAAATATACATCTTCCAATAAAATATTTCGTTCACCAATATTTAATGAAGGGCAAAAATTATGATAAATGTGACTTATAAATAAAACAAAAAAAAAATTCTTGTCTCCATTTTATAAATAGAATCCATAGGAGTAGCAAGTAAAAATATACTCCTCTGATTTTATTTTTAAGTCACTTCCAACATACTTCACCGGAATCAAAGAAAACCTTAAAACTCATTAACCCTATCTTAAAATTTATAAAGTTCTCAACAATGCCCCTATTGAATATGCATATTTTTTTTCTTTTCAACATTCAATGAAGGGTAAATAAAAAAATCTGTGTTAAAAATTTAACGAGATAACTTATAAATAAAACTAATAAAAAATCTTTTCTTTCTGTTCCATAAATAGTTCCAGGGGGGAGAGAGGGGCAGAAATGAAGGTGAGATGATATAGGCAGGCAAGTGACAGGGACGGATAACAAGAAGGGAAGGGGAAAGAAAACAAAAACGTTTAAAATTATAAAAGAAAATGAGAGTGAAAGTGAGGGAGGCAAAGCACGCAGGAGCACATGGTTGATGAAATGCTGTGTAGTTTGTATGAAAAGGCAAAGTTAAATGCGTTGGTTGTGATTTGACTTTGTCTTCTGCCAACACTTAGCTTCTCATCAGTCGGTGCCCCTCTTGCCCGAGGTAGCCCATCTGCATTAACTACCTTCCTTCATCTCTCATAAAAGAAAAAATAATAATAATAAATTCATTTAAGAGTTACATTCTTGAAAATGTGTATAAAAAATATTGCTTAAGAAGGGACAGTTTCTTATATGATTCTAAGGTTTCTGGTTATGAGGATACTTTGGATTGAAAAAAAGAAAAAAAATATTACATTTATGTTTAAGCATTTGGACAAAAGGAAAAAATCTGGAGGAGGGAGGAGGAATTGAGTGGACTTAAATTCAAATTAATTAATATTATCGATTGCTCCATTCATTCAATATTATAAAACACTTTTAGTTAGATTACACTTTTAATAAATTATTTAATTATTTTTAAAATTATATACTCTTTTATGTTTACTGTTATTTAATAGAGTGTAGAAATTAATTTCACGCCCTACTTAAGGGTATTTTTGGAAAAATGTCATTGACTGTATCTTAAAAAACCTAAAATATCTTATATTTTTTTAGCATCTTGCTTTAGAAAAAAATGATTATATTGTTTTTAATGGAGGGAATATTAAATAGTTTGTTTAAAAAATAGAGTAGAATTTATGATTAAAAAAATAGGATAAAATAGCAAAATGACTCGTAAATTATTAGTTCAAGAGTGTCTGAGACTCTAAACTCATTTTTTATATAATATTTTTTTTTCAACTTTTGAAAGCAATATAATCATATTTTTATTATTAACAAAAGTTAACTTTGACTATTAGTTGATAAGAAAATAATACAAAATAATCTCAAAAATTACAATAAAGGAATTACAAACAATAACAAAAAATTATAGAAAATGATCAAGAAAATTTTATTGGTCCTCAATAAAAAATTGTTCTAAATAACCAAAAAAAAATTAGAATATCTTTTTGGGTTTTCGGTTCTATTCAATTAGAAAACCAAATATTATAGATTGGGTTTTTTTTTCCCTTTTTTTCTGGTTTTTTTTGCAAAATTTCTTATTTTTTTTTCCTGGTTTTACATACCTTCCATGAACTTCCTTCTCGTTCTTTCTCTCTCAAAAGTCAAAAACTACTTTCATGTTGGATTCTCAATAAGATTTTCCCCCCAATCAAGGCATCTTCTCTCCCATTTTTTAAAGTTTTACTTTTCTTTTCTAGACTTATAATTTCATTTTTTTCAATATTATTAAAGGGTTTTGAGTGTTGTTATTCAAGGATCAAAAGATATATTGTAAATTT